GTGTGTGTGTGTGTGTGTGTGTGTGTGTGTGTGTGTGTGTATGCATATATGTATGTAGGTATGTATGTATGTATAAATTCTTACTCGCAACAGATTCAGAACAATGCATTGGTTGCACTAGCTCCGGAGTTGATCGAGGTTTGAATAACTGAATTGTACGTTTTGTCGAGAGAAGTATCGATCATGCAACAAGAACGTCACCGCCGAGGGTTGTGAGAGCCAATAGCCCAGGTCACCAGAATGGAGGTGTTCGGGATAGAGATGGAGTGCAGGTAGATAGAGCATCTTCTGGCACCAAGCGAGACTTTGATGATGTGATAATCACTATTACAGTGAGAATGGAAGTGAGAATTGAGCAGCTCTCTAAAAAGATCTTCGTAGGTGAATGGGAAGTGCGACGCGTATGCTTTAACTGTAATGCTAAAGGACATGTCAAGGCTGATTGTACCAAACCTGCAGCCCCAGAGACCAAAAAGTGACTAGTGGAGGTCCTCTTCAGGAGATGGATAAGTATCGACAGGCGCTTGGTCATCGATTCCGGCGCACGGATGAGGCTTATCGCTGGGCGGACGCGAAGAGTTCGGTATGGGGCAGATGGGAAGGCTTTTGTGATAAAGCGCAGAAAGATACAGACTTGCTGTTTGCGTCGGCTCCGTTTCACCAGATTCAGTTGCTAGCGGACCATGAAGCGATTATCTTGGATGAATTTCCCGTTGAGCAACCGCGGCGATTGTTTCAGTCGCAAGTGATTGTTTGCTTGCGGTTTTCGAGGGACACGACGTTTTGCAATCACATGTTACGCAGGTGGGGTATGCTTCCATTGACGTTAGAAGGTGTTGTGGTTGCCCGGCGGTAGTTGTTTGGGCATGCAGCGTAGTTAAGTATGGCAGCATGAGTAGTAACGTGTAGGCTGGAATTCACTTGGCAGGGGTCAGAGGGAGAGTACGGCACCACGTCCCTGTGAATAATACACCGATCTGACATGGTGAACACACATGGAATATGACCACCCTATGACATGACAGAGTTGTGGTCATAGTGGGGGGTTGCAATATGTGTGTGGTCCACGTGTAGTAGTGAGCAGTGCTTGAGGGCTCATGTGCAGTACTGAGTCATGTTCGATGACTCGGGTGTATGAGGGGTGGGTTTTTTTTTGAGTGATGAAGCAATGGAGAAATGTTGTATAGACATAGTGGTTTATGTCTACAACTGATTGGTAAGCGTAGACCAATAGAAGAAGAGCATAAAACATTTAGTAGTGTAGTGTAATAGTAAGGTAGGATATATGGCGAGAAGTGAGATGTTGCGTTAGTGACCAGAGGGTCTGACGGCAGGCAATAATTAGAATGAGGCTATATAGGTTTAGGTTGTGGGGTGATCTGTCCTCATAACCTTGTAAGCTATTGCACTACTTTGATCATATGAGTATAAACGTTGATTCATTCCAAACCGTTTGTAAACTAAATTAGTTACTCACAATATATATATATATATCTATAATATATATTAATAGAT